CCCCATTTCAGGAGGGATGTGGACAACATTGAAAGGGTCCAGAGGAGGGCCACCCGCATGATCCGGGGACTACAGGGCAGACCCTACATTGAAAGACTGCGGGACCTAAACCTGTTCAGCCTTCACAAGAGAAGGTTGAGGGGGGACCTGGTGACTGTCTATAAACTCACTAGGGGGGACCAGAAGGGTTTAGGGGAGACACTGTTTCCCCTAGCACCCCCTGGCATGACAAGGAACAATGGACACAAATTATTAGAGAGTAGGTTTAGATTAGACATCCGCAAGAACTACTTCACAGTTAGGGCGGCTAGGAGCTGGAACAAACTTCCTAGGGTAGTGGTGCTGGCTCCTACCCTGGGGATCTTTAAGAAGAGGCTTGATGACTACCTGGCTGGACTCATTTGAGTCCAGTCTTTTCTCCCACCCAGGCGGGGGGTCGGACTTGAAGATCTACAAGGTCCCTTCCGACCCTACTTCTATGATTCTCAGGACTGACGTGCTCCACTACTCTTCACTTGGATATGGGACACTGCTAGTAGCATCCAAGGAACTATATACTTCTTAGCTATCAGAAGAACAAATTAATTTGAGGCATTTGACAAGCTTCCAGCAAGCGGCTCACACACGGTGGAAAGGCACGGCTCTGCAGCTCGACTGAAAGAAGGAAATCCTGGTTAAGTGTATAGCTATCATGCTTCTCTCAAGAATCATGGTAGATATGTGAGCAAGATGTGGGCCCTGAAGCATTGATGAGGTCTCAAAAAGAATGAAACACTACTCTAGGAAGATTAACAGCAAAAGGAGATATGGGGGTTGTCCATATAAAAGCCACTTTTTGTGCGTCAAAAAGATGACATTTCAGTGTAGCTATTAAGCTCAAGCTGATTTTGATGAAAGGTCAGAAGCAAGCACTAGAGGTGCTACTGCAATCTAGAAGACCCTTGCATATGTTACTCAAGATACTGCCATATTGTTCCTAGAGCTATCCCTCTTTTGAACTTATGAAAACAGGAATGTCAAGAACTTCAATGTGAAGCTGCCTGGGGATTCAGAAGTGGTGATCTGAAGGGCAAGTAGTTTCCTCCAAATGACTCCTGATGACACTTTTTGGATGAAGTGCCTTACTGATGAGTCAAATGTTAATACCATTAAGCACTGGCACTGAAGGCTGAAGCAAGATATTTCAAGGTGGCAATGAAACCTTGTTATTGGGCTTAGGGCAGTAGTACTAACACATAAGTACAAAAACGCTATGTAGGGTAAAAAGCTAATTCTTGCCCTTATAATACAAGTAAAGCCTTATTTTTTTTGATCATCCAGCTACATTTGTCTAATGTAGATATAGATATATAGACTAGACCTGATGATTAATTCTCACCAAGAGAATACTGGGTAGTTATAGAGAACCTGGAACCAATGAAATGCAATACTAACAAAATTTTTAAAGTATACATTTTTAGTAAATGTTTACCTACTATGTGTGATCATTCATCTTTAGTTATTTGTTTGTGTTGCTTAAGGAAGACCAAAATTCACCAAAACATTTAAGCATAAGTGTTCTGATAAATATCTTATTCCTTTTTGGAAATCAATGGCCACTAAGTTAAGCATATATATGAAGTGAATAGATGAATATCAGTGTCACTAAGGATAGATGAATATCAGTATCGTTAAGTGGGACCAGAGATTAAACTCTCCACGGTTTTAGTGAAAATTGCTTAATCCAAGCTGCGCTGCAGAGGGATTACATACTAAAACCAGTGACCTAAGAAGAGCTAAAATGCCTTTAAATATATCAGAATACAACAGGTTAAACTATAAAAAATTGAGTTCTTACCTCACAAAATTAAGTTGCTAAGAGTGCTTTCCCTATAAAAAGGGTACAAATGCAAGTTGTGTGTTCACTGCAGACAAGCAAATGCAAGAATAAATTTCCTCCCACTGCCTTTTTTGTACGCTTCACCCACCAAAGCACATTTAAACAGGCAAGTCAGATTCTTTTCTGACCTGTGGCCTCCTTCGCTAGAAAGAGAGAATGCACATTTTCTGAAGAAGCTACCAAAAGCAGTAATGGTAATGATCGCTTTTATACAAACTTGATTATGTTCAAATTGTTTCACATTAACCATTTAAGATTGTGAAACGGCAAGGACTTTCAAACATTAGTCATCCAAACCATTTTAGAACGAGCTATCTATGTTTAAAAGAGTCACATATCTTTTGTAATTAGAATTTAAAGATGTGATAGGGTTGTGATAACTAATGCACAAAACAAAAATAAAAATATTCCAAATATTGTTTTAACATTCACACACAACTGTATTTTTTACAAAAACAGTTATAAACATAAAAGATACAAAACAAATTCACCAAGTTCTTATTAAGCACTTTTATCTTTTACCTTTTTATCTTTCTCTAAGATTGTTTGATCTCTTTGCTGCAGAAGACGTTTCAGTGACATTACTTCTTCTTTTAGCTGACTTATGAGGACAAAGTTGTCAGTTCCCCCACTGTCTGCTGACTGATTTATAGAGCTACTAAAAGTAAAAAGGACCACAACTGTTACTCACATCAACCAAAAATGGCATATTTTTCAAAGTTCAAATTGCATAATTAACAATTCCACAAACATCCTTAAGGACTAATGCAAAAAAGTATGTACCTGACAGAAATGGATGCAACTGGCAAATTACCTTACTAATGGCACACATTACATACACCTGCAGAAATATAATTGAGTATTAGCTTTGAGGGGGTCAAACACTTCTCAATTGAAGCAGCCACTTTTTACATTTATTCCCACTGTTAGTCAGAGACAGCATAAAAGTGTAGTCTCAAGCATTTAGGTCCAAAAACATTCTCTAGATATCAAGTCAGTTTCAAGCAGCAGGTTCAAACCTGCATGCAACTGAAAAAACAGTTTTAAGGAATACCATTTGCTTGTGGTCTTATACTCAAGTTTTACTTTATTGTGCCCAGAGTACCTCAAAAAGCAGGAAACACAGTGCCAGTTTTCTATGCGTAATGCCATTCAGCTGACTGACAGCATTCAAACATGCAACCCACAAATTGCCTGGATGGACAATTCAATTTTTCACTTATTATTCTCCAAGCAAAAGTAGCTAAGGGCTATAAACCCAATGCTCTACTTGGCTGAAATGTCTCAGTTGTAGAAAATATAGCTTTACCTATCTCCATTGGATGGCTTGGATTCCAGTTTGGGTTTTTTCTTTGGAGTGTCATTCTGAATAGCTGCAGAGGATTTATGGCTAGAATCAAATACAAAAAAAGGTAAATTTAAAGCAGTCGCATTGCATCATACAGCAGAACTCCAAAATCCCCAAAACTTTCAATAAAAACTGTAAGACAAATTTACCAAATTATTCTGAAATGGTTAGTGTATTTACCTCTGTTTCCATAGTCCCTGATCTTGCTCTGGACTCAGGCTGCCTATTCTGAAATGCATGCAATTAACATACAGTTAGTAAGAATTCAGCTTCCAGTCATTGTAACCAAACAACATTCACATACTCATTTTTAAGTTCTGAGCAGCAAGCAATATGTAGGTCTAGACAAAGTCCTGCCCCAATCATTTTTAGACGAACTTACTGATTATTCATGTGTTGTTAGCCAGTGAGCAAAGCATCTATTAATCACATTTATGATTATGCTTTATTGAGATCAAAATCCTTTAATTAAATGTTGTCATAAAGAACAAGGGGCAGAGTTAAGGTTGACAGTAAAACCTTAACTTTGGCATTTCTTAGTTTTTGTGAATTTGACACTGCTCCTTTAATACTTGACAGAGTAGAACTACTTTGATGTGTATCTTAAGTAATTTGAAAGGTACAGGGAAGAGCAAGTAAAGTAGTTGGGTTCATTGTGCAACCTAGACGATGGCACTGAAACAAAATGAGCTCTTGTTGAGCAGTTTAATTCCATACACCTTTTAAACTCCATCCCACCCCAGCATGTCCACTTCTCTACTCGTGGATAAAAGTTGGGTATCTTGATATGGCTGAAGTGGGCTTAAAACAGAAACTGCTAACACAAGAAAGTACCAGTCCAGTGGGGCAACCACTTCTAGGGCAATCTGCCCAGAAATACTATAATATAGACTTCCAAAAACATGTATATGTTCTGCTATATGTATAAGTCTGTTTAAAAGTCAAATTACTTTGCATTGTTTTATCTACCAGATGCTTGCTAGGTCTCAGGAAATAAGATTTGACCAGTTATATCTTAAATCAAACAGGATTTTCAGCAGAAGTTAGGCTTCTGTCCTCCTCATTTACCTGCCAAGTCAATTTCTCCCTCAAATTAGAGGGATGAGAAGGAATAAAATTATTTTTTGTAAAGGAAAGACTGTTTTTCCAATTGTCACTTTTGCATTTCATTTTCAAAATTAGCCCATATTATTTAAAAGTTATCCCTATCAAAGCAGTGTGTGTCCACAAGAGGAAGCAGAGAAAGTTATAAGCTAATTAAAATGAGAATTAGAACGAAAATATTCAGGTGGCCTTCACTAAAGGAATCATTGAATAATATGCTGGAATACATAAATCTGAGAAATACAAGGAAGGGAATTATAAAAAGCTCTGAATTTATAAAGTGTTATCTGTAGTTATAATGATTCATACCACAGTGTACTTTTAATATGGTAGTAAAAAACAAAAGTAAGATACTCAGAGAAACAGCCATTTAAGGCTAACTAGGATGTACATATGGCTGTAAAAAGACGATTAAAAAATTAGTATGCTGTTTACAACACAGCAAGATTGGTGTAAATATTCAGAAAGGTTGCAGGAATAAATTAAAACAGAGAAAAGTATTGTAAGAATGGCCAGATAACCATCAAAAGCCTAACTTACAATAGCACTGCCTTGTTGCTGATGGGACAGCACCTCATAAACTATCAACAAGACTTGAATGTACTACATTGACTGGAGAAGAACTCTTCCTAAAGTGAAGGAACAAAACAAAAGTAAAGTGTTCCTAAGAAAAGTATTTTCATTACCATTTAACTAAATTACTCTTCCAGATCTACAGACAGTTACATTATTACCTGGTAACTAGGCTACAAACAGGATTTGCTTTTTACTGAATTATTTCTCATGTCTTCAAGTGATGGGAACATGGAGATTCAAAGGTCATGTCCAGACGAGCACGGCTGTGTAGTATGTAGCGCTGCAGGCCCATCTGTGGCGTGTCTCCCTCACACCAAAATATTTTATTCCCATTTTCAATTCAGTAATTGAAAGTTGCTGTTAAGTGATGTTTAAAATGTCCTGAAATATGACCTCACTACTTATCCCATCAAGTAAGAACCTTTTAGAGAATCAGAATCATCGGTGACACGTTGGGGGGAGGGGGGGCCATGGGTGAGAGGGGAGGGGACACATGCCCTTCCAAGATTACTGCGCAAACAGTGGGGCGCAGGGCTGCAGTCCAGAAGGAGTCAGGGCCTGGCCACAGTGGGGGCAGCAGTGGCGGTGCAATTTCTGCACTGACCACAGGGCTGCAACCCAGTCACAGCCAGCACCCAGGAGCAGTGGGGACAGCACCAGTGGCATGAAGTTGTGCCTCCCCACCCCCCTGTTAACAGTTACGCTTTACCTCTAATTAGAATACTTACTTGTGATGGCTGCTGCTGTGACGGTGATGATGGTGGTGATGGTGATGGTGTTTTGAATGATGCTGATCTTTCTCAGTCAGAGATGAGGATGATGAATTAGAATGTGAAGACCCTAGACTTTTTCTCTGTTCCTTTGTCTTCTGGAGAACTCTCTTGTAGGACAGTGTGCAGAGCCAACATAACAACTTCCCATCAACCTTTTTGGGGAAAAAAATTGCAGTTAAGTAATCATGCACTAGGTATTAGAAAGATAAGCTCAATTTTCAAGAGATATCATTGTGATTCTGGTATATGAAGTTCATTCTTTAATGTACAGGATGTTTACTCTGCTTTTTCTCAACATTGTAAGTTACACTGCAAATTGGTTCTACCAAATATAGACATATACTACATATTCCAAGAACTGGAAAATTTTGCTCTGAAGCACTCACTTTTAGCTTGGGTCTCACATGGCCATGGAACCTTTCTTAACCCAAGGCAGAATAAGACATGTTATACAGTGGAGTCACATCTTACACGGGGTTTAGGTTCTAAAGTCAGTGCGTAAGGCAAAAATCATGTATAGTCAAAATTACCCTTGGGCTTGCCCAGTGGTACAGTCCCTCCTTCCTGCCCAGGGCAGCCTGCACCAAACTCCCGCCTGGCCAGCGTGCACAGCTTCCCAGCAGGACTGCTCCCAATGTAGCTGCTTGACCCAGTGCACAGCGCTGTGGGGGGGCAGCTGCAGGCTGAATCCAAACAATCTGCACTCTGGGGCATATGCATATGATGAATTTGCGTAAGTTAAATGCGCGTATGATGCGACTCCATTGTATGAACCTGGTCCGTTCCTCTATGGTAACTAAGGAAAAATGTCTTTGATGGCAGTGTTGTTTTCAACCTGAAACAAAAAGGGTTATCACCAATAAAAAGATGCTCGTGTGACTAGACTGACGCAAGAGGCACAAGGCAGACGAATAGGGACTATGTATTAACATCCTATTACTTGGGCTAACTTAACGCTTGGAGGAACACGGGAGTTAACTGCTTTGTTCATCTCAACTGATCTAACCAACCCACTTATTACTTCTCTTAGCAGCCTTCCCCACCCTCCTGTTTCTTTCCCTTCTATATATAATCTTGTCTTTCTGCCAGTCCATTCCTAGCATCTGATGGAACAGATTGTTGCTCATAAAAGCTCATATGCCTCTCTGAACCAATTTTTCTTAAGATTCTACATTGCCCTACCTCCTTGCCTAACTCCAAACTAACTGGTCTAGCCATGTCTATGCACGTTTGAGAAGTTAAAATGGACAGGTCTACTCAGAGCCATAGCAAAGGTTAAAAGGAAGTCTTGAAGATTGATAGGAAAAGGTGGAAGTAAGAAAACCAAGTTACAGAGATGAAATACTTAAGGTTGTGGGAAGTAGGGGAAAAAAACCCACTCACACTACTCCGTTGCATTAACTTTGTTCCTATACAGCTGTCATGGTTAGATTATATTTTAGAGCTGACATTAAAATTTTTTTTAAAAAAGAGATTCTTTAAGAGCAGGTTGGTCAGCAGAGGAGCTAGTATCCGGTCTTCGTGGATCACATATTTAATGCAAAGTTTCATGAAAGGTCCTTACATTGGAAAAGTAAATGAAATGCTCTTTACAACTTTTTGATGTTAGTGAAATTCACCTTTACTTTTAGAGAGGGAAGATTTTCAGTCATATCTTTTGTTTTCATGTTAAACTGTTACAGTTCAATAAAGACAATGCATACCTTCCTTCTTCCCTCCTCTTTTCGATCAAAAGCACATTGCTGCTTGCACTGTTCACATGTCTGAGGTGGTCCATATTTCTTTTCCGAGTTTGTGCAACGTTGACATTTTGTGCCAATAAATGCTGCAATAATATTACAGTACTGACAAGGCTTCGGCTGAAAAATAACAGAGAAGCAGAATTAAGGTCAGTATAATTAAAATTCTTCCAGGAAACTATATAGTTGGCCCAATACAAGATATCACAAAAAGACCCTTGCCTCTTGTATTTTCCCTGGACCATCATGACTACAACACTCCCACCACACTAAATTAATGTTAGTATTTTCAAAAATAAAATGGTGTTTCTAAGCTAATAAATCTTTAAGGGATCCTGCTTTAAATATGAAGCATTCCAACTGGTATTGCATTCCATTTTCTCTACATTTTTTTCCATTAAAAGATGCCAGCCCAAATGGGAAAAATAAACACTTGTGTGCATGTTCTATGAAAGAAATGCCCAATTTTGGATGACAGCTTCTTCTCTAAGTACCAAATCAAACTTTTTACATCACCAAGAAATAAGAACCCCCCCCTGCCCCCAAAAGATCTGAGGAGACCTAAGGAAAGACACCTGATACCTGACAGCTTGTCCAACAACTCTCTCACAATCATATAGGTGATGCAGTGTAAGATACCAGAAAAATATCTCTGCCTCACAAAACTTTAATTTGACCATTTACATTTTTCTGACTGGTTTTGAGAACATCCCAAGCCCTTCAAATATGCAGGGGGTTGACTGCTGCAGGCGCATGTTTCCAGGTTAAGGCTTACAATCGCTTGGGGAAAAAAATAACTCTTCTGATAACTGAAGGTAAATTGAGTTTAATCTCCATCACAAAATAAAGCTGATAAACATATGGAACTGGGAACTAAAATTCCCAGTGTTTCTAAAAATGCCATTAAAGTTCAGTTTCCTTTGAAGCAAGTTCCACTTTTAATAAAATGTTGCTACAGGTGTTGGCACATCTGTATTATACTTGGTTTACAATCCCTTAGGATTTTCAAAGAACATCTTGTTTCAATTTATGAAGTATTATGCAGATTACATGGTGAGAGCTTTTATATTTAACTTGTCCATTAAGTTGTATCTTATCTAAAAAGTATGACTCTAATTGCACAATTCATAGGATCTAAGCACTTGTTTCACAAGAGAAATGCTTTTTATTTTAGTGAATCATCTCAACTGCCTCCCCACAATGTCCACATTGCACTCTGACAAAAATGGTATATCAGGACACAGAATTACCCATTATATGCACAACTTCTGTAACACAGATCTAAGTGGCAATTAAAGGTAAGGAAATGCAAATTAAAATTAACTTAGCCACATTTTTTTAATAACCCTAGTGTGGTCACCTTCATTTAAGAAACATTAATGGGTGTTATCTACTAACCCTGCTCCACGATCAGATTTTCTCATTAATCAGATACTGAAGACAAGAGACAGCAACAGCAGCCCCTAGATATAAGCATTTCTATTCAAAAGCTTGGAAAAAATGATGCATGTGCAAGTGTATACATTCAAGGAATCTACTTAGTTATTTGTAACTACTGAACTTGACTGCACATTTCAACTCTTGAAAATCCTGCAAGGGAAAAGAGTGCCTATTTAAAAATAGCAAAAGTACTCAGCCATTGAAGGTATAACTTTTCACAAGATTTTTCCTGAATAGAAAGCTTCATCCCAAAAGACTCATTTTCCACAAAGTTTTATGTGCAAAAAGTGCATTTACAACTGAAACTATTTTAGACCCTGAATTAAAATATTCAACTGTGCATCATAATATCAAGACACAGGCTGTCCCTTGCACATCTATTGTATTTGGCTGGATAATGGGACTCTTGCATGCCTTTTTGAGAATAAACTGCCAACTTACCGTTCCAAACTGCTTCACGTTTTGGGCACATTTCTTGCATATTGTGTTAGTTTTGCTAAAGAGAAAATTTTGCAAAGTTGAATTCAACAACAAAGATGTATTGATTCCTTACTAGTTATTAGTAAACATGCATACAAGTGCATAAAATGTTTAAAATATCGCTAGTCCAAACTAGCCAAGTATACAATGCATTTATCTTCTTGTATCTCACGCTGAGCAAAGTGGGAAGCAAATTGCTGCGGTTGCAGTTTGGCAAACAATTTACCATTCATTTTAAACCATTCATATTTTCACCCACGATGACTAGTTTCCCTTGCGGCATGCGTGCACGATCAGAAAAGGCTGCTCGCTGCTTTCAGATGCCAAGTGTCACCCATCAAGCCCCATTTCTGAATTTGGGATTTTAATCCCGCTGACGCGCGAGAACATTTTAGCCCCGGCTCGAACTTTTGGCCCGTCCCCCTCTCCGACGCGCGCCTTACCTCTCCTGCTGAAACTCTGACCGGCAGTAGGTGCATTTGACCATGGGGTGTGCAATGCGACATTCCTGAAAACAAAAAGGGCCGTTATGACCTTGCCCCAAGCAGATGCCCCCTCGGGATGCCTGCAGGGTTTCCCCAGGCTCCTTCCCATGCCACGTAATTCATGCCAGACACAAGGCCAGATGCAGGCACGGGTGAACCAGGCTTACGCCAAGCTCTGGACAGAAATGGGCCTGAAAACGGTCATTTTTTGATTATTATTATTAACGTTCTGTCTAGCGACGGGGTGGGGCAGCGATACTACATGCTTGCCCAGGGTCTGCTGCTGGCTCCTGAAGAGTCCGGCTGCATGACCCTGCGTGATCCCCACGTGGGAGCAGGTGGGGAAGAGTCATCGATCCTTCCCCGCCAGCCTAACTTTATGGCGCCCCTTCCCCGAGCCATGTATGTAACGTGTGACGGGGCGGGGGCACCTTGCAGAGCTGCTGGCCCTGGGACAGCTCCTCGAAGGGGTAGCGCTGGTTGCACTTGGTGCAGGCGTACAGTGCCGGGGCCGCCGCCGCCGCCATCCGCCCCCGCGAGGGGGGGCCAGGCCTGGGCCGCCG